ATTTTATTTATTTATTTATTCGACAGAGAGAGACACAGCGAGAGAGGGAACACAAGCAGGGGGAGTGGGAGAGGGAGAAGCAGGCTTCCCGAGGAGCAGGGAGCCCGATGCGGGGCTTGATCCCAGGACCCTGGGATCATGACCTGAGCCGAAGGCAGACTCTTAACGAGTGAGCCACCCAGGTGCCACCAAAAATTTAAACTTCTGATAGAAAAATGAACCATCAACAAAGCTGAAAAACAAACACCAAACTTGGAAAAAAAAATCCTTGCAAAATCAATAAGAAAAAGACAAACAACCCAACAGAAACCTAGGCAAAGGATATGATGACACAGTTCAAAGAATTATGAATGGTTAATAAACACATGAAGTTATGTTTAATGTGACGGGGGAAAATGCATATCAAGACCAGCTTCATCTCTTGGCAGCCTAGATTGGATGAAATCTGATTAGTGCTTGGTAGGATAGCACCACGAAGACCTGGAGTCTCTACAGTTCTTGCCCTCCTTGATGCTGAGAAGTGTGTGGTTCTTTTACATCTTCTCTGCTCCCCCCAGAGTGGGAAGTGGTATAACCAGAGGAGGAAGCAATAAACCACAGGAGAGAGGATCTAAGCCACTGGATTTTAATGGAATCTGATCAGGTAACTGCTTTAATGCTCTTCTGTGCCAGGCTGGCACAAATAAGTGGGCAGCAAAAAAGATTCCATCATCTAGAACTGTGCTCTTCAATATGGCAGTCACTAGCCACATGTGGCTAGTTCAATTCAAATAAATTAAAATTACATTTTAAATTGGTTCCTCAGTCTTAGCACACTGCAAGTGCTCACTAGCCACATGTGACCAGTGGCTACCACAGTGGACGACACAGGTATATAAATTTACATTACAGCAGAAAGTTCTTTTGGACACACTGATATCAACCATAGTCTATCCTATCCTTCATACAAAGCCTAACATCTCAGGAAGACAATTTCTCCATAACTTTTCCTTCATTCATCACCACCTTTCATTTTTGGAAATTATACTGCTGAATATATTAGTTTATATCCCACCTGGAAATCCATCCATATTGTAATCCTTATTCCCCTCAAATCAACTGTTCCAAGGAATGATACTGTTAGAGTCTATCTAGATATGGCTTATATAGATAAAGGCGTTTTCTGGAGTCTTTTAAGAGAATGGCTTCCCATTAATTCCTAATAGCTAATCATACCCCCTTCATCAGGACCCCAGCAACAGTCTTTCTGAATAAAATACCAGAAGACCTTTTGGAAGTCCCTAGTACACTGCTAGAAAAGGATCAGACTCAGATAAATTCTCCTGCATTTGGTCTGGCAATGAGGCATTCAAAACCTCCAAAAGCAGCCCCAAAGTCAAGATCAGAAACCAGGACTTTCAGGTTTGGTAAGATCTAAGCTGCTGCCATCACACTAAAAAACAGGCATTTTTAGTCCGTGCTTCAAAGAGGGGCCTAACACCTGTGACAAACAGCCCCACCATTGTCCAGACAGGAAGATTTTCAAAGGGAAGGAGTTCGAATCTATAGTCCTCCTCTTCTGCCCTCCTGGGGCTAAAAGGGAAAAGCGTTAGGAACCTGATCCCTACCCTTCCAAAGTAAAGAGAAACAGAATGGATACCTGGCATAGATGAATGGAAAAAGTCACTATTTCTTTCCTCTTTTCTGTACATTCTAATTCTATAAGGGCCTACAACATTTAGATAGATACTATCCATATTCCCTGCGAAAAGTAAAGAAAGCCCACAATAATATTCTCTACAAAATCCTAAAACTTGAAACACATGAAACCAGAGCTGTCTGGCACAGAGCAGCCTGAGCTTGGCTTCTCTGCACCAACTTTATGAAGTCCTCAATTCCACACATAGTACACAAACAGTGAAATGCCATGGCTCCTGAAAACAGCTCCTTAAAAAGAGAATGCACAGTTTTCAAAATCTTGATACCAACACTCTCCTGCTCAGGGCTTCGAAAGGCCATTCCTGCCTGACCACCTTAAATATTTGTGGTTTTGATCTGGCAGCTTCTCTGAAACTAAACACATACACTTTCTCAGTGTAAGTCCGCTCACTCTAACTGCATACCACTTTGGGAACAGGAATTCAGGAGAGCGTAACTGCATAATTAGGCTCCAACACAATTGAGCTTTTGATTTTGTATCTACTTCTGAAAACTCTCTGCTACTCTGAGTTTGGCAACCCCTCCAAAACCCAGTCATACCAGAAGTGTGAAAAGCAGCAACAATGAAGTGACAATTTAACTTCCCTGCTACTGGCAGGACACAGGATGAGCAGCTAGGACAGAGCTCAGAAGACTTCCCTCCCTCTAGGCCTGAAAGAGCCCTAGAATCCACATGGCAGCAACAGGACTAAGGCTCTGCAGATCATAGTGTTTCCACCTGGCAACCTCTGCCAACCTTGCAGGCCTGGGAATGGATCTTTTTAAGGGAGAACAGCAGCCATATATCCGGACCTGTGCTAACGATGTCTGGAGGCACTGAGGTCCTCTGGTGGGACTTATATAATAGGAGAAGCTGATTCTCATGGGTATGCTCTTCACATTTCCAAATGCTCAATGCTCAAAGCAAAGGAAAAAGGAGAGTATCAATGGGAGAGAACAGCATAGCAGGAAGCCGATACTGAAAAGCACACTTGGGCACATATATGCCACATGCATGCACACACAAGGTTCTAATTATCCCATGACCAGAGTTCTGTATGCTTTTTAAAAGCTTTTCCTTGGGACGCCTGGTGGCACAGTCGGTTGAATGTCTGACTCTTGGTTTTGGCTCAGGTCATGATCTTGGGGTCCTGGGATCAAGCCCCCAGGCTCTGCACTTGGCATGAAGTCTGCTTGGGATTCTCTCTCCCCCTCTCCCTCTGCCCTGCCCACTTGTGCTGTCTCTCTCTAAAATAAATAAATAAAATCTTAAAAATCTTTAAAAAATCTTAAAAAAAGAAGTTTTCCTCAAGGGGTGCCCTAGCTGGCTCCGTTGTTGGAGCATGCAACTCTTGATTTTGGGGTTGTGAGTTCGAGCCTCATGTTGGGTATAGAGATTACTTAAAAATAAAATCTTTAAAAAAATAAGTTTTTTTAAAATAATTTGAGAAATTAAGTGGAGTCCTATTTTTCTCCACTGAGAACTCCTACCTTGACTTCCTACAAAAAACGAAAATACTAACAACGGAGAAAGGACAGAAGGGTTTCGTAACATTACTTTCACTTCCTTAACAAGGTAAGATACTCAATATAGACTGAAAAACTCCCTCTTTCTATATCCTCAAATGATCTGAAATCTTTCACAACTGACAGACTTGATGCAGCTTCCCAACCCAGACACATTATAAAGAAACTTCCAATTCACTAACCTGGCCCTGATGTGGACAAAGCCAGGGCCACTCTACTGGGCTAGGAATAGCACCACATCACAGGAGAATCCCAATCTCCTTCTGATTCATGGCACAGTGTCAGTGTGTTTGGAAGCCCTAACTCTGAGTGGAGCTGGAGTCCTGACTTCCTCCCTCCCCTAGCAAAATGGTGGACCCCACAGGAGTAGAATAAGAGCAGAAGAGCAAAACATCAGCAGTTGAAATGGCTTCCAATTCTAAGACTAGAAATAAAATTCAATTGGTAAGCCAAACCAAAGATGAAAATTACCCTTTTGTGCCCAATCAATCCCATCACTCAGCCAGTGACCCCACAGGGATCACTCCAGGGAAACAGCTTTCATAAGCTCAATGCTTTATGAGAACTTCAGCACACGTGAACACAATCACTGATCAGAAGGCAGACTTACCGCCTCTCCCCGTTGTGCTCAAACTTGATTCTGACGTCACTCTGCCAAAGGAATGATAGACAGGTTAGCAAGTTCTCTGGCATGTGTTATCCTGCCGTTCCCAGGGAAGCTTCAGGGAGCCCGTTAGCAACGTTAGGCAAACATCCCTGATGGCTCCTGTTCCAGCTTCTCACCTCATATGCATTCCTTTCCAGTGAGTCGGGAGCCTTCCAGTTCTAACCTCAGGAGCAACAAAGATCCCCAAGTGGCTGGCCCAGCTCAGCTGCTATGCTCTAACAGGTCATTTCTAAGTTCTACACTCTATTTCCACAACTGGCTCTGGAGTTTCTCTCACCATATCACCTCCTGCCCAGGAATCCTTGGCTGATGTGACTGAACAGAAAGAGAAACCCTGGGATGGATACTTCCTAGCTATGGGTCCACAAGCAAGTTACTTGTCCTCTATGAATCTTAGTTTTTCCATGTATACAGTACACCTACCTAATTTGCAGAGCTGCTATGAGAACTAAACAACATAATGTAAGTAAAACACCTGACACATAATAGACATGCTATGAATGGTTGCTGCTGCTACAGATTTCCATGTCCCTTTCAAGACCACTCCCAGTGGGGTAAAGTGGAACCCTGGACAAGTTACTTTAGAACTGCTCCCAGATTTGTCCTAAATGACCATCATGGGTAACCTATAAACTGCAGGAGGACATGAACGACGTCTATCTTGTTTCTGTATCATCAGTAACAAGCAAGGGGAATGGTATATAATATCTGTGCTTACTATTTATTCAAATGGATTAACTGGGTAAAGAACAGAATTGTGTAGAGTGTAAATATCAGAAACAGGAGGAAGTAGAAGCATCAGAATGTTAAGAAACAAATCAAGGAGGAAGAGATATTTAAAGAGCAAACAAATGACTCAAGGGAGTTTAAAAAGGCAGGAAAAGGGAAGAGATATTATAGAAGAAAAGGACAGGTATAGAGAAAAAAGAAAAGTAAGACTGTCAGGAAACCAACAAATAATAGAGATGGAGGAGAGAAAGAGTGCATAGTCAGTGATGAAAAGTATACTGAGAAAGAGAAATTAATAGACTGTGGCTTGGAAGAAAGAAGATTCCAGAGTATCTTTAGATGAGAAACACAGAACAGCGAGAGAAGACGACAGAAACAGGACAGAATGTCAAAGGTAGGGTGGGTACATAAAGGACTTCCTTTTCCCAAGAGATTAGAAGGCTAGAATTCTCTTCCAGTCCACTGAACTGGACGGGTGGTTCTAATTCACACTCTAAAAATGATGGAGGACCTCAAAGAGCTTTTGTTTATATAGATTATTATCTACTGATATTTGCTATATTAGAAATTAAAACAGAAAATTTATTTTATTCACTTTAAAACAGTTAAAAATATCACATGTTAACATAAACACATTGTTATAAAAATAACTATATATATTTTTAGAGTTTAGTGAGAGTACACAAATCTCTTCAATGCATGGCTTAATAGGAGACAGCTGGGTTCTCATGTCAGCTTCTGGTTTTAATCTGTTGTGATAACACATATCATGTAGCCTCTGCAAAACTCTACTGTACATTCTTAAGAGAATGAGGGTGAAAAGGGCAAGTAACATTTTAGTATTAATAAGAAAATAGTTTTGACCTCATGGACCCCCTGAAAAGTTCTTGGGAACTTCCTAGGGATCCCTAGACTACAGCTTGAGAATCACTGAATCAAAATATAAGAATGTGCTCCTCTATCCCATTATTTTAAAGACAAGGTGGAGTTGGGGGTCAAAGAGCTTCATGTCCCCGAAAAGTTCACACACTAAACAGTGGACAGCAAAGTTCCCCTGACCTGCAATGTGATAACTCTTCAAAACACAGCCCTGCTCTTGCCCTCTCATCCTTTAATGTAACATATGGACCACTTTCTCCATTAATAGTATATGAAAATAGCTAATATTTATTGAACATTTACTGTGTACTAAGCCTTGTTCTAAGCATGTTACATGTATCAATTAAACAAATCCTCACAACAGATACTATTATTGTCCCTATTTTACAGGAGAAATTGAGTTACAATGAAGTTAGATAAGTTCCCTCAAGGTCACTATGCTTTAAAGAGCAAGCCAGGATTCAAACCCTGGAAGCCCAGCTCTTAACCACCCATGCTATGCTAACTTAAGTGTCTCACAGGCAGAGGAGGTTTATTTTATTCTCAGATGCAGGCTTCAATGGGAGAAACTATCAAAGGATCTTTTGTGATCTTACTTTATGGAACTCACGGAGGAATAATGGAGTCAGAACCAGGAGACTGAGGTACCAGTCATGTAGTAAGGTACAGGGCCTGGGGAACCAGTAGTGGAGGCTTTGGCTGAGGTTGTGAGTAGACAGGGATGGAGGAGGTAGAATGGGAAGGCGGTGTGCTCCATCTGGTCTGCACTTACATGTGCATGCTATCATGCGTGCATGTGTGGATGTATTTGTGCAGGCGTGCATGCACGAGCAGAAAGGTGGGACAGCGCTGCAGAGAAAGTTATCGTGCGGATTTAAGGTTCATGCAAGTGACGGCAGCTTTCTGTCTTCGTTTTCTCCTTCCCTGAAATGCTGAGCAGTTAGCAGGGCAAGGGCCCTCCACAGCACAGTGCCTGTGACAGGCTGCTGTGCACCGACATGCCACCTCCAGCTTCCTACACGCTCTAGTCCCACAGCCAGCTCTGGAGTTACGTGAGCACTCGCCAGTCTGCAGCCCCGTCTGTCCCTGCAGGTGGCTTACCACAGCCTTTCACCTCCGGCTGTGCACAGCCCAGCACATCTTGGTGTAGCTCTCATTATTCCTATTTTTTAGTAATAGATTCTATTTTTAGAACAGTTTTTGATTTTCAGAAAAATTGAGGAGATACAGCCCACATCTTCTTCCGACCAGTTTCCTCTATTATTAACATCATACATTAGTATGGTACATTTGTTTTTGTTACAGTTAATTAAACAATATTGATGTATTAACTAAAGTCCATTCAGAGTCCCTTAGAGTTTATTTCTGTTGATTTAAAAAAAAAAATTGTAGGGGGTGCCTGGGTGGCTCAGTCAGTTGAGCTTCCGACTCTTGATTTCGGCTTAGGTCATGATCTCAGGATCGTGAAATCGAGCCCCAGGTCGGGCTCTGGGCTCAGTGCAGTCTGCTTGAGATTCTCTCTCTCTCCCTCTGCCTCTGCCCCTCCCCCTGCTCGTACATTCTCTCCCTCTCCCTCTCCCCTTCAAAATAAATAAATAAATAAATAAATCTTAAAAAATAAATAAAAAATTTGTATCCCTCTGTTGATTTTTATCTAACTTTTTATAGCAATAAAAAAACATATAGCAATAGTTCTTAAACTGGGACACTATACTTTGATGCACTTAAAAAGGAATCCCCTCTGTCCCTTTGTGGGACTGAAGGAACTAAATTTATTTCATCATGGCCATAATTCAAGCACTAGTCTATGTGAATTCAGTTAGAAGGGGAATTAAACTTTTGCCTTAAACCATAAATCACTCCTACTCAAGACTAACCAAGCCTGTGATTAGTAAGCAGTGTAAACAAAGATGCCCAGCGCTCTGAATCCCTTCTCTGATGTGGTGACGGCCTTTCCAGAGCAGGATGCCTGCATGTACCACACGGTGTGCCCACATCTGCCAAGTTCCTAAATCTGAGCTCCCCCTGTCAGGCTGACCAGAATAAGCCATGGATAAGGAAAATTCAGAGAAAGATCACTTTATTCAATTCCTCCTGCCAACCATTCTCCTTGCCTCTCTCAGACATTTCACACTGGTGGCGAAGTCCTCTTTCTCTCCTCCCTTGCCTTCTGTGACTCTTCCCAGCCCAGACAACCTGCCACCACTCTAACCACTTCTGCTTCTTTGCTGGTTCCTCTTCCTCAGGCCTTCTCCCACCCCTCCCCCAACATGTGACTGTTCCTTGATGTTTGGACTTTTGGCCTCTGGATTTCTCCCCTTTCCTCACATCTTCTCTTCAGTAGGAATAAAAAAATAGGCAACTTATAAATAGAAAATACCCAAATCTCTGACCAGCCCCAATCTTTCAAGCAAAACTTCCTTAGTCTGCCACGTAACTAAGGCAGGTAAGTTGTTGTTAAGAATGTAACACTAGAGTCAAACCATCTGGCTTCAAATCCTGGCTCTACAACCTCCTATCTGTATGATCTTGAATTTGACTAACGTATCTGTGACTCAGTTTCCTCATCTGTAAAGTGTAAATAGTAACAGTATTTATCTCATGGAGTTATCAAAAGAATTAAATGAAATAATTAGGAAAAGATACGAGAACAGTGCCTGGCACATAGTAAGTGCTCAATAACTGTTAACACACATCCATTAGCCTTTAGCCAAAACCTGTGGGGCCAAAACTGTTTCAGAGTGCACTTTTTAGGCTTAGAGACACAGTATACATGTCCATATATGATGCAGTGCCTCCCCCCAGGGGAGGGTGTCTGGGGCGGCACCTCCACGGCAGAGGCAGAATATGAACAGGTATTCCCCACGCATCTCTGCATTGCTTAGCCTCTCTTGAAGTTAGTTTAGGGCTTTATGACTAGTTCTGACCAAGAGCTGGGAACATCACTGAGTTCTATGCTCTCTTCCCTGGCAGCCACATGTCCCAGGTCAGTGTGGCCGCCCTCAACCAGGGTCCTGACTGTGGGGAACACTGTCTTCCTCTTGCCCATACTGGGCATAGTGTTAAGTCACTGAAGATTTGGGGTTTTTCTGTTAACACAGTACAAGCTAGTTCTTATAGTGAAAAGTATGGATGCTCACAATAAGTGGAATAAATAAAGACTATAAATAGCCCTGCATCCACTCAAGCCAGGTTTTGCTGCCAAATGAGTTTGCCACAAATTTACCAAAAAAAAAAAAACAAAAAAAACCTTTCAGTTTCCAGTACTCTTTGGATTTCAGAATTGCAGATAAGGGACTGTGGACCTGCAAAAATCACACACACCCATAATCTGAGTTTTTTTTTCACTATGATCTCAAACTCAACCTGGCTCCAT